CCCTATAAGCCATAACATATATCTTTCAATTAGTTCATCCATCTTATTTTTAAAGTACTTATTCCTATCTTAAATAGCCCTAGCAATCATGTCGGTTCTTCTTTAAAAAGTACTTGAAAAGTTTCCAAAAATTGAAAGTTACCCTGTTGAAGGGTTTCCCATTTTGGGAAGACTTTTCCATTTGATAAACTGTCTTAGTTCAATTATCTATAAAGAAAGTTTCTAATTTGGTATAAACAGGCCCACACTTGTTCGTGCTGGATTTGAGTTTGGATTTGACTCAACAGCGAAGCACACCATGAAAAGGTCTTGTTTAACTTCATGTTAGTGTTTACAATCTACCAAGGTTAGGTTCTTAAAAAAGTCATTGAAGCCATCGGATTCAGTTAGCTAAATCCGCATCATTATAATAAAATTGGGCTTTTAGAACAAACGCTTGGGTATGCTTAATTAACTTTGGGTCATTTCTTAAGGATTAAACCTCACAAAAACTGTCCATTTCATAAAAACAGCTTGCAATAATTGATGTAGGCATTTCTTCATATTATTGTGTTTAATTAGGCTTTATACCTCTTCAATTGGTCAAATTTACAACAATTCTTCATTTAAGCAAAAGGGCCATTTAGTTCAAAAACCAGTCCAACTCTAAAACTTTTACCACAACCTTGAAGATTAAAACCAAGACATCAGCCGTCTTCTTCCTTTGGGCTCAGTCCCTCATCACACCGCCGCTTCTGGGCCTCCACCACCACACTCAATCATCCTGAGCTGCTCCCACAGGAGCCAGGCTGCTAAGCAGCGTGCTCCATCGCAACTGGTTGCTTCGGCTAGCAGTGGGATGCCATCCAGACGTGCCATAGACGGCGCCGAGTTGCAGCCTGCGACTTTCACCCTTTCATCGATTTTTCTATTCGTTTCAAAAGCCCAATTTCCTAATGAAATCTCTTGATTCAATGGCTCCACTATTCGTATCTGAAGAAGCGCTGAACTTCCCCGGACCGAGCTGACCTCCTAAGCTCGGCGTGCTGATGAGAAGAGCATATCCAAACCCTGCAAAACAAGCGAGAGAAGGTCTGTTGGGTGACTAGCAGGGGAGCCCCGAGGTGGTCCCCGGAGGCACTCCGACGGTCAAGTTAGTCTTTCGGTGAGTGGAATTCACGAGAAGTAAAAGCAATCCGGAGTGATAGGCCAATAGTGAGCGTACCTCGTACAATTGGTGTGTGTGTTCCCATTTATACCTACTCGAGAGTCCGACCTCCGTACGTTTCGGGATCTGCCCGGAATAGCGTCAATCCCGCGCTGAGGGGGATCCTCCCCGCCCTCTGCGGGATTATTCTCTGGAGCCTCTCGGAGCCTTAGCGGCGGTGTGCCCCAGGATAGTCCCCATGGGCCTGGCGTCCAAGCCCAGCTCCGGACTTCCCGAGCTGCCACGTGTCTAAGCCCGGGACGGGGCCTCTGCACTAGCCCCCTAGATTAGGTAGGGCTTCCAGACAGACCTAATCTACGCCCCCTGCCACGTGGGAGACTGGCGTCGCCCTGCTTTGCCATGGTCACCTCCGGCACAGTGCTGTCTCCTGAAAAGCCGCGCTCGCGTCCTTTCAACTGTTGCGTCTCTTTGGTTTCCGTACTGCTTTTAAATGCGTTCACATGGGGGCGGTTCAATTTCAAACAACCGTTTTCCCCCTATTTCACCCCCTATAAATAGAGGTTACCAGATTTCTTCCAACTCTATTTGCCATTTTCCTTACTTCGCATATTGTTTTGCTTCCGAAAGTTCCAGCGGCAAGACTTCCGGCCCACAGTGTCCAGATTCCGGCGGTTCCTTCTTTTTTTCCCATTCCATTCCATTTACCAGTAAGTTTCCTTCCTTTCTCCTTCGCTCTCCTTCCCCCTTATCGTTCTTTGCTTTTTATGTCGGATCAATCCGGCGTCACTTCTACCACATCTCGGGTCCCTGCCCATCGTAGAGCCCTTAGGATTCTCATTTCCTCTTCGTCGTCATCTTCATTCTCATCTTCGTCTTCATCTTCTCCTCCTCCTCTTTCCTCTTCCTCCGCTTCTAACCCTAACTTTCACATCATCAACCTGCTCGAGCCCATAGTCATTATGAGCTCTCCATCAGCCCATTCTCCTTCCGCCCATATCCTGGAGGAGGTGGCCGAGCTCGATGCTCTCATCGAGCAGCAGGCCACTTCCGTTCCTTCCCCCAAGTCCACACATGACTCCCCCGGCGGAGCCCAGGGAGGGGCAGGTGAGGATAGGGATTCCTCCGAGGGGACCCCTGCTCCTGAGCAGGGGGATGATCCTGAACTCGACTACGGTCAACCTGACGAGCAAGAGGTCACCATCTCGCCCGAGGGGGTCGCCGAGCTGGTCAGGTCTTTTTCCATCCCTCCGGCCTTTGAGCCGAGGGTTGCCGGGCCCAACGACCGAGCCAGCCGACTTCCCTCCGGCTTCGTAGCCATCTACAGGGAGCAGCTGGTTGCAGGGCTCCGACTCCCCATTCCTCCAACCCTATCCGAGATCCTGAGCTATTGGGGGCTCAGAATCACTCAGGTCCATCCCAACTCCATCAGGATCATCATTGGATTCCTGATCTACTGCCAAATCTGCTCCATCCCTTATTCTCTTTCTCTCTTCCGAGTCTCTTACACCCTTAAGCTCTCCCTTTCCGGGTGGTACTACTTCTCCCGCCGAACTACTAGTAAAGTTCGGGGTGGGAAGGGCACCCAGAATCTTATCTTCGGGGTCCCCTCCTCCATAAAGAATTGGAAGGGGGACTTTTTCATTGTTAGATCTACACATTTCCCTCCCAATGTGTGGAAGGTCGGAGAGGTCGTCTCCGACTCCTATCCGGAGGACTTGGACACCGAAACTCTCAGCCAGCTGGTGAGCTCTTCGGTGAAGCTCTATGCGGTCAGGTTCTTCACCGAGCAGATATCTGCGGTTAGGCTATGGGGACGTTGTTCGGGTCCCCTGGAGGAGTGGAACCCACCCCTACCAACTACGACACCTGTAATGCCACCTCTGTGCTCCTGTTGTCCGTTGCTTTCTCTTTTTTTTTTCTAACCTGTTTTTGCTAACTTGGTGGTGTTTGCTGCAGTGAGGAAGCTTTCCAAGCTGTTGGGCACGCCCTCCAACGTGGCCGCCCCCACTTCGCAGCCAGAGGCCGCCGAGAAGGTCTCTGGGGTCTCTCCGACTCCTGGGGGCAGCTCGGCTCCCCAGAAGGAAGCGTCTCACTCTCCGTCCCCTTCCAAGCAGGTCGCCAGCAATAGAAAGCGACCGGACAGAAGAGGGGCAGAGGGGACGAGCCATCCCAGCCTGAGAAGAGGCTCGCGCCCACTCCGGCACAGCCCCCCCTCTTGATAACGTCGGGGGGCGCTTCTCACGCGGGTCCGGTCCACCTGGGGGTTGGTTCCGCGGAGGAGCAAGCGCGGGTGACGCCACCCCCAGCCTGTGACATTTTCGCCATGTGGCCCCCGTGAAGCCGGGTCAAGCCTCCTCCATGCACGACCCCCGGCGCTTTTGCCCTTCGTGGGGACTCTCTATCAACGACCGAACCCAGTTTCCTGAGGTGGCTCGCGAGTTGGTAGCGGGCTCGGTCTTCCCGCGTGACAAGAGGTGGATGGAGCTGGCCAGTCTGTCTGAGCTCCAGGACATGTTCTACACTGCCCAAACCCAAGTAAGCTCCCTACCCCTTAGGCCACTTGTGTCTATACTTTCCGGCTCGATCCCGTAGTATGCTCATGTCCTTTCCGTTCCTCAGGCCAATGCCGCTGGGACTGCCCTGGCGACCCGCTTCTCCGAGCTGTCTCCCAACTTGGAGAAATTACAGAAGAACAATCGGGAGATCGAGCAGAGGTTTGCCCATGCCCTTAAGGAGATAGACTCCCTAAAGGCTAAGTTGGGCAAGACCGAGAAGGAGCTGGAAACGGCTCAAGTCCAGCTCGCCTCCACCAGGTCAGAGCTGGACCAGGAGAAGGCGGGTGTGGAGAAACTGAGGGCAGACCACGCCATCGAGCTATCCGGCACCGTCAGCCGGGAGCGCTGGAAGGCTGTTCGGGAGTTCATCTCCTCCGAACAGTTTGCCAAAGACGTCGCCCTCCTCAACCAGCCCATCCTTCAGGTCGGCTTCATGCGAGCCCTGGACCAGGTGAAGGGACTCGGCCTGCCTGGTTTTGATTTGGCTGCATTCAAGGACTATAATTCTGCCGCCGAGGAGAAACTAGACTGGCTCTTCGACGGGTATTGCAAGGGGCATGCCCTAAAGGACCTGGTGGGCAGGAGCGACGTGGGAGCCGAGCTGGAGGAGATTCCCTTGGAGGAGGGCGAGGCTCCCGGCAGAGCTTCCGGGAAAGAGCCAGTAGCTTAAAGGTTTGGGGGCTGAGCCGTACCCTTTTTTTTTTCTTTTAGCTCGGTAGGCTTTGTAATAGGTAGGTTTTCGAATGTACATACGAAGTGGTATTAAATGAAATTATCTGATTTTGGCTTCCAATTTTTGTTTGCGTCGAATTCTAATAACCGAAGCGACGTGCCGACCTCCTTGGCCGAGCATCAGACCTTAGAGATTTGGGCTATGCCGACCTCTCGGGTCGAGCATTTATCAAACTTTAAGCTTACAACCAAATGGTCAAGGACAACAAACTAGGGCACTATCAAACTAATTACCAACCGGATTCTAACAACCGAAGCGGCGTGCCGACCTCTTGGGCCGAACATCAGTCTTTAAGGCTTCAAACTACGCCGACCTCCTGGGTCGAATGTGAACGTCAAACTCTCAAACTTTAAAGGTACTTCATCCACTCATTGCCCCCGAGCCCCCCACTAGGACACTTAGTATTATTTGAGTGTGTTAGTGTAGAAGTAACAAGCAAATAGTGTGATAGTTCAAGGTAAACGGTATCGATAAATCTTGTAATGAAGGTTCGAAGTCGAACATTTATTTAATTTGACCTGAAGGTGGATTCCGGAGAGCAGACAGTAAGATATCTTGGACAAATCTAACCTATGAACAATCGCAAGTTCAAAAAGTGCCAAGTGCGAGGTACCTCTACTCCATTTAATTTCGCAAGCTTACAATACCCAACTTGGCTTGCTTCCAGGACTTTGTACGGCCCCTCCCAGTTCGGATCAAGCTTGTTGGAACTATGAACTCGACTGACTAAGTTCTTCCGTAGGACGAGGTCTCCCGGCTGGTACTGCGTATTCCTCACCCTCACGTTATGATAGCGGGCAAGTTGACTTTTGCACTCAGCCATCCGTATCGCCGCTTCCTCGCGTTTAGCTTCCAGCATGTCCAAGTTACACCTCAACTCTTCGTCATTGGCTGCCACGACGAAGTTCTGTGTCCGAGGCGATGGGAGGCCGATCTCTGCTGGTACCACCGCTTCTGTCCCATAAGTCAGGGAGAAAGGGGTCTCATGAGTGGCCGTCCTTGGTGTAGTTCTGTAAGCCCAGAGGACACTAGGAAGTTCCTCTAGCCAGCTAGACTGGGCCAGTTCCAACCTAGTCTTCAGTCCTTGCAGAATGGTTCGATTAACGTTCTCCACTTGGCCGTTGGTTTGGGGATGATCGACCGAAATGAAATGTTGGCTGATCCCGAGTTCCGCGCACCAGCTCCTGAAGGGATTTTCAGAAAACTGTCGCCCATTGTCAGATATCAAAACATGCGGAATTCCGAAGCGGCAAACTATGTTTTTCCAGAAGAATTTCTGAACTGCTCTTCCAAAGATAGTGGCAAGAGGTTCCGCTTCCATCCACTTGGTGAAATCGTCAATGGCCACCACGAGGTGTCCGTATCTCCCGGAGACTCGGGGGAAAGGCCCCAAAAGGTCTATTCCCCACTGGGCAAAAGGCCAAGGACTGTGGATGGGGATCATCTCCTGAGTTGACTGGTGACGCAGCGGGACGTGCACCTGACAAGCTCGGCATTGCTGAACTAGCGCCGCGACATCCCGAAATACTGAGGGCCAATAGTAGCCTAGGAGCAGGCACTTCTTGGCCAACACCCGAGATCCCACATGTGTCGTGCATAATCCTTCATGAACTTCTCGAAGGACATAGTCGCCTTTCTCGGGAGTTACGCACTTTAGCCAGGGAGACAGATACGACGTCCTGTAGAGGGTCCCCCCAGATAGGCGTACCCGGCAGCTCTGAGCTGGAGTCGACGGGCCTCGATTTTGTCCTCGGGGAGGACACCTGAGCTAAGGATGTCTACGAGGGGGGTCATCCATGAGGCCGGGCTGTCTATGGCCAAGACTTGGACCTGGTCGATGCTCTTCTGCTTGACTACCTCCACCAGGACCTCCTTGTTCAGGTGAGCAAACGAGGAGGACGCCAGTTTCGACAGAACGTCCGCGCGCTTGTTCTGTGATCTCGGCACCCGCTCAATTTCAAAAACATCGAACAGGGTTATCGCCCCTCGCACCTTAGCCAAGTATTTTTTTCATGACGTCCTCCTTGGCCTCATACTCCCCGCGAACTTGGTGGACTACGAGTTAGGAGTCATTCCGAACTTTGATCGCAGTTATACCCATCTGGTGGGCTATCCGCAATCCCATCAATAGGGCCTCGTACTCCGCCTCATTATTGGATGTCGGGAAGTCAAATTTGAGCGCTTAGGTCAGCTCTTCCCCGGTGGGCGAGGTGATCAGCAGGCCGGCTCCGCTCCCTTCCTTGCTCGAGGCCCCGTCCACAAACAGTACCCACGGCTCTTTCGGCCGTACCTCCTCGGGCAAAGGGCTCGACTCGGCCGCGGACAAACTGGTCCCTTCAGCAAGGAAGTCCGCCAGGGCTTGTGCTTTGATAGCGGTGCGAGGCTGATAGCTGATGTCATGTTCGGCTAGCTCGACGGCCCATTTGGTCATCCTTCCCGAGATCTCGGATTTTGTAAGTATCTGTCGTAAGGGCTGATCAGTCATGACAACGATGCTGTGGGTTTGGAAGTAAGGTCGGAGTTTTCGAGCGGCATGCACCAGGGCAAGGACTAATTTTTCTGTCGGTGTGTACTGCGTTTCCGGCCCTTGGAGAGCACGGCTGACATAATATATTGGCCTTTGAGCCCCCTGGTCTTCTCGCACCAAAACCGCGCTAACGGCCTCGTTGCAAGCGGACAAGTATAGGAACAGGGGTTCTCCCTGCTCCGGGGCGGTCAAAGTGGGCAGCTCAGCCAGATACGCCTTCAGGTCGATGAAGGCTTTCTAGCATTCCTCCGTCCATTGAAAGTCCTTAGGCGCTTTCAGGATTCGAAAAAAGGGTAGCCCCCTTACCGCGGAACGCGAGAGGAATCTACTTAGGGCGGTCATCCTTCCCGTGAACCTTTGGACCTTCTTTATGTTCCTCGGAGGGGCCATACCCATGATAGCCTGGAACTTATCCGGATTGGCCCGGATCCCCTCTCGGGAGATCAGGAACCCTAGGAACCTTCCCGACCTAACCCCAAAGGTACATTTCTTTGAGTTCAGCCGCATCCGATTCTCCCACAGGATGTTCAAGCTTTCCCTCAAGTCGGGAACAAGTTGCCGGTCAGTTCGGCTCTTGACGAGCATATCGTCCACGTAGATCTCCATACTCCTGCCGATCTGATTCTGGAACAATTTGTTAACCAGGCGTTGGTAGGTAGCTCCAGCATTTTTTAGCCCAAACGGCATTGTCCGGTAGCAGTAAGTTCCTTCCTCAGTGATGAAAGAAGTCTTTTCCCGATTTTCTTCGGCCATCTCTATCTGGTGGTATCCCTTGAAGGCATTCAGGAAACACAAAACGTCAAATCCCACAGAAGAGTCCACTAACCCGTCAATCCTCGGCAAAGGGAAGCAATCCTTTGGGCAGGCTTTATTGAGGTCTGTGAAGTCCACGCACATCCTCCAAGATTCGTCCTCCTTCTTCACCAGGACCGGGTTGGCTAGCCAGGTCGGGTAATATACCTCCAGGATGATCTTGGATTCCAGCAACTTGTCGACCTCCTTCTTGATCACCTCATTCCTCTCTGGGGCAAAACTCCTCTTCTTCTGTTTCACCGGCTTGAAGCGGGGATCTACATTGAGATGGTGGACGGCCAGGTCAGTCGAAATTCGGGGCATGTCTTCAACCGTCCACGCGAAAACCCGGGAGTACTCCCTTAACAGGGCCTTCAAATCCTCCTTCTCCGCGGAAGGTAGTGACGCACTGATGCGGAGGACCTGGTCGGGCCTGTCCTCTATCAAGGGGAACTCCTCGATCCCGTCCTGGGTGCCCCACTGTCTGGCCTCCTCCCCCGGGATGTAGGGCTCCAAGTTGGTTGTCTGAGCGACCACCTTCTCTTGCCCCCGGAGCATGGCCAAGTAGCAGGCTCAAGTCACTTCTGGATCTCCGTGTACCTCAGCTATTCCTTCCGGTGTGGGGAATTTGACGCTGAGGTGGAGCGAAGAAGGAATAGCTCGGAGGGCGTTCAAGGCGGGCCAACCCAAGAATATATTGTACGGGGATTGTTGTTTGACCACCACGAAATTGACGGGGGTGGTCCGGCATTTGGGCGCCTGCCCTACCCTAACCATCAGGGTGATCATCCCCTCCGGGTTGATGGATGGCCCGGTGAAGCCCATCAGAGGTGTTCGAACCGGGGTCAACTGTCCATCTTCCAAACCGAGCTCCTTGAACACCCGGTAGAACAGGATGTCCACCGCACTTCCTTGGTCGATGTATACTTTCTTCACCCGATGGTTATTGGTTACAACGTCTATCACAATGGCCTCATGGTTCCCTGACGCCAGGGGAACCGCATCCCTTGACCCGAAGGTAATCTCTTCGTCCACGCGCAGGCGCTTCAGGGAATCATCCCCCTCGGGAGGAGGCCGTTTGTCCTTCCGGGCCGCATTGCTGTCCCCCCCGTGGGACCCCCGGCGATGGTGTTAATCACCTCTGCCAAGTTCTGATGTCCGGATCTGGGGAACGAGCTCGAGGAATGCCACGCCGCTCAGGGCGGTTGCGACGCTAGCTCTCGCCCCTGTCTCCGTGGTAGGTACGCCCTGACTCCTGGCCTGGTCGGTCTTGTCGTACAAATAGTCCTAGGAAGCCGCGCTAGATCAGATCCTTGATATCCTTCCGCAAGGCCCAACACCCCTTCGTGTCATGCCTGACGTCACGGTGGAAGGCGCAATGCCGGTCCTGGTTTCTCTTGTTCCGAGGTGTCTCCATCTTAGGCGGCCGCTCCCCTAGGCCCTCCGCCTCCATGACGGCAAGGATCTGGACTCTGGGTCGAGTCAGGGGGGTGTACCCTTTTTCCGGAGGCGGCAGTGGAGCGGGGGCTTTTTCCTTTGAGAGCCGGTCAAAAACGTTCTTCTTGACCGGACCATCCTTGCTTTCGGGGTGGCTTCCCCGCCATCTCCGATCTCCGAACTCCCGGTCCGACTCCCTTTTCAGGCGTGCCGCTTCCTCTGCGTTAGCGGCCGAGTGCGCCCTGGTCAAGAGCTGTTCCAAGTCTCTGGGAGGCTTCTCGGCTAGCTTGCAGAAGAGCTCCTCTGCCCTGAGCCCGTTCGTGAAGGCGGCAATTACCACATTTTCATCCTTGTCCCTGATCTGCAGGCTCTCCGTGTTGAAGCGGGCCATGAAACTTCGCAATGACTCTTCCGGCTTCTGCCTGATTGCTATCAGGTGAGCCGCATTCTTCGAATAAGTTTTCGAAGAGACGAACTGGGCGACGAACTTCCTGGCCAATTCGGGGAAACTCCGGATGGACCCCGGTGCCAGACCCTGGAACCAAAGCCGGGCCCTCCCCTTCAGAAACATGGGGAAGGTCTTGCAACGGATTTCATCCGCAGCTGTTTGCAGACGCATGTGCGTCAGGAAGACCGAGAGGTGGTCTTCCGAATTGGTGGAAGCGTCGTACAGCTCAATGTTCGGGATCTTGAATCTCCGGGGTAGCGGGTAGTCCTCTATCTCTCGGATAAAATGCGAGACTATGTAATTGTCCTCGTACAATTGCGGCCGCAGGATCTGCTCGAGTTCATCTTGGACAGGCTTCCACGGGGAAAGGTTGCGCGGTCGGCTCTTGATAGATCGGTCAGGGGAGCGTTCAGGCTCGTTCCGCGCGGGCTTCCACTGAGAAGGATTTCTCGGTCGGCTCCCAGCGGACCGGTCGCGGGAACACCTCTCGCTATCTCTGACCACCGAGACTCGTGGTCGAGGGAGAGTCCGTGGCCGTTTCCTTCTGGGGGGCTGGTCCCGGGACTCATCCTCTGAGGGGGCGAGGGGTGATTCCTTCTCCTTCTCCTCCGCCTTGGAGGTTTGTGCGCCCCTAGCTTCACCTCCCTCCTTTGCCTGTCAGATAATATCTTCCAACATGGGGAGGTTCTCCGTCACGAATCGGAGGATCTGCTGTCTCCGTTCCCCCGAAATGGCTGAGCCCCCAGCATCCCGAGCCGCCTCGGTCTCCCTTTGCCGGGATCCCTCACCGGTTCCAGGATCGGAGTTCTCTAGGATTTGCTTGGAATGCGTTCTTGCTATCAACACAGCTACACTTACCTTTCGTTCCCACAGACGGCGCCAACTGAAGAAGCGCTGAGCTTCCCCGGACGGAGCTGAGCTCCTAAGCTCGGTGTGCTGATGAGAAGAGCGTATCCAAACCATGCAAAACAAGCGAGAGAAGGTCTGTTGGGTGACTAGCAGGGGAGCCCCGAGGTGGTCCCCGGAGGCACTCCGACGGTCAAGTTAGTCTTCCGGTGAGTGAAATTCACGAGAAGTAAAAGCAGTCCGGAGTGATATGCCAATAGTGAGCGTACCTCGTACAATTGGTGTGTGTGTTCCCATTTATACCTACTCGAGAGTCCGACCTCTGTACGTTTCGGGATCTACCCGGAATAGCGTCAATCCCGCGCTGAGGGGGATCCTCCCCGCCCTCTGCGGGATTGTTCTCTGGAGCCCCTCGGAACCCTAGCGGCGGTGTGCCCCAGGATAGTCTCCATGGGCCTGGGGTCCAAGCCCAACTCCGGACTTCCCGGGCTGCCACGTGTCTAGACCCGGGACGGGGCCTCTGCAATATCTAAATTAACAAAGATTCTTCAATTGTATGGTCCAAGGATGTGCAGAGCTTTGGCTGTGGTTTTGATTCATCTGAGTCACAGTAGGAACTTTTCCTAAGATTTGTTTAACAATTTGAAAATACAACTTTCAGAAGCCCACTAGCAAATGGAAAACCGTGAAGATCACTTCAATGGTAGGCAATTGCTATGATTCATGAAAGAAACTATGGGTTGAGTTTTAACCTAATTGACCGTAAATACTAGTATAGCGCATCAATTTCAAAACATTATGATTTGCAAACAAATCAGCAACTTTAGCTGACAAATTATTCTTCACAAGTTAAATAGTACCAACAACAAACAATTAAAAAATTTATACAATTTACACATAACTAATCAATACTAAATATTACAAAAATCAACGCAACCTAGGATAATACACCTCAAATTATACTATCATACACGCTACGAAATCCTTCAATTAATCCACTTTCACAACTTTCACTAGCATAAAATAAATTAGAACCAATAATCAAATCAAAATTGGACAAATCATAAATATACTGTAAACAATAAAAATACCAAAACAATGCAAAACAATTCACCACTCTACCAATAGATAAACATAACATAATCATAATCATTCAAAATAATACAAAATATGACAAATTCATACTACATTATATAAATTATATTACAAATCTTTACACATATTCCAATATAAAATACATGTACATATAATTAATAAACAAAGAGAGGAGGGGTTGGATGATCAGATAAGAGAAATGGTAAGTAGGAGATTTTGAATTCAAGACCTCCCACTTATACTAATAATGATAATAATAATAAAGAAACCTATCATACCCCAAAAACACACAAAAAAAAAAACATACAATATGGGCTCCTCGCGACGCCGCGGGGACCAATGCCTAGTTTAATATAAAATCCCAAAAGAGATACATGAAGTATCTAAACTACTAGTAAAATAATCAATAACATTAGTCAATTAAATAGTTTTAGTTAAATGAAGTATTTAAACTAGTAGTAAAATAATTAATAATATACAATTAGCCAATTAAATAGTTTTAGTAAGGGAAGGACCAAAAGATTCGGGATTTCACAATAGCAATCTTGCAAGAGTGCCATGGCTCATATGCTCGTACACCAGTAGCCGATGTTGTCCTTCATCACAGAATCCAAGCGATGGGACCAAATTTTCGTGGTTAGTCTGACCCATTGTTGTCACTTCACTTCAGCACGAAATTCCTTCTCAGCATCTTAAGCCATTCTAACTTCTTGACTTCAACAATGCTGCTTTCGGAACTAATTTTGTAACTCATCTTTTATACACACAATGCCAAATGATCCCCAATCCAACTCTTCCTTAAATCGATTGGTAGCTTCTGCAAGCTCTTTGTATGGAAAAATATGCTAATTTATATCCCCCAACATCAGTATTCAAATGATATTACCCTCTTTTTCCGGAACATGAGGTAAAAGCCCAAACAAGCAGTCGCAATGAATATCAAGTTTACTAAGAAAGAGGTGCCAAGAAGGACAGGTTCCACACGTATAAAGGTGCCTCGGTCCTTTGGCTTTGATCCATCACTCTTGCGGTATTTGATGAAAGCTTTGGTGTGAATAGTCTTATCTGCCTTCCCATTATATAGTGGCGGCCCATGCTTCCAGCAATTGTTTTCTTTGTAAATGGCAACAGCGCAGAAACAATCATGCAAGCAATTTTGCACACAGACTCTTTCATTTGAAGGATATATTTTCTCAAACTCAGACAGTGGCCAATCTATGTCATCGACAACCTCAAAATCATAAAGGTTTTCTGCAGAGCCCCCATCTACTTCAGCACAACTAAGAGTTGAGTTTGGTATGCAGCTGCCGTACGTGTCATCTGGATCAAGCAATACATACCTTTTTGGACACTCACAAACTGGTCTTCCATTTTTGAGGTTGCAAATGTTGTTAAATCCACAAGCTCCACTGCCCCTGTTTGCTCGAAGGCTGATACATATATTCGGCGGCAAATGCCAAAGAACCTTCCAGTTCGGATTTCCAGTAAAAGTCCTAGGATGATAATAATGTGTGAAGACCCCATCAAAATCTATTGTTGCCCGATGATAGTTTTCTGATGCTGGTGGTATTGAAACTAGATTCAGCTGCTCTGTTTGATTGTCCTTTTTCCTTATGTACATGGCGCCTCTGCCATCAAAAGTAACTTGGCTACCAGAATACAGTGGATCCCTAGAATCAGAAGTCTTACTATTGTAGTACTCAGCATCGTCATCCACATTGGTTGACACACT